TTTTTTTTTTTTTTTTTTTTTTTTTTTTTTTGGTAACACCGAATCAATGGTTTGGTTTCTTGTCATCGGATTCGAGAATTACATCTCTATACGGTTAGGGAAATCTGCAACTACATTCTTATAATTATATGACAGGTGCCAAAATGTACTGTACAGTACATGTGAAGAATACACTAAAAACTTAATTTCAGGAGTAAAAAGATTAGCCCTTGTTCGGTAGCAATTTTTTTCCACCAAAAAATCATTTTTTTTTTCACTTTAAGCGGTCACTTTTTACTGATAGTATTACTATTAGGTGGACCCACTTTTCTCTCCGGTCAGAACGTCAATTCTAATAATCTGGGCCCTAGAAATGAATCAGTAGAATTTATAGACTACTACGGCTGACTGCCTTCTGCAAGTTGAATTCTGGGATCGATGATGCTTAGCAGAATGAAAAGCGGTGCCAGAAGTCGTTTGATAAGAAATCTGATAATAAGCTGAATAAGTTTGACTGGGAGCACATGTGAAGGGTATAAAGAGTAGCAGCAGAGTACCATATTGGAGAGAATTCGGCTGCAAACCAATTCTGCCCAAATCAGGGCATTAGCTCAAAATATAAAGGGCCAAATCCATGTATGATACGACTTTAAAACAACCAAACAGCAAAATAAAGGAATAGGACAATAAGAAGACTGTGCTAATAATTAAAAGAAGTTCGTTTTAAAGAACAAAATAACAAAAACGTAATACTCCTGCACCAATTTGAACTGAAACCAGCTGCTGCTACCCAATTAACTCTTTCTTCCATTCCCAGTACCCTTAAGATTCTCCTCTTGAATCAACCCTGCTAGCTGAGTTCTGGGATCTTGACACTGAGCTTTAGCTTTAAGAATGAATTGCATTGCCGAAAGTGTTTTGATAAGGAAATCTGATAACAACCTTAACAAGTTTGATTGAGAGTGTTTTTTCTACGACTGTCTCTCACAAAGTATAATTCAATTTTGATACACTCAGTACTAGAGTGCTGAATTGGAATAGCTCTAAGCACAATAGTTTTGAGGTTTTCGTGCCAAATCTATGAAATTCTGATTTTCTTGATTCAAACGTCACACAATAAACCTAGTGGTCAATGCATTTCTATTTTTGCATTGGCTAAGTTGCGATGTTCTGCTTCAGTGGTGTTCAGGGATAAATGTACGTTGCCTTTCAGAGCTTCATGTGACGAGATTTCCCCTGAGAAATATGCAGAACCTGATATAAGCTGATGATCATCAAGATCTGCGCACCAATCAACACCTAAATAACAACAGAGAAACGAGCGTAAAGACTGGGAGAGAAGAATAGTTTAGAATCCTTTTAAATGTCTGCCAGTGTTTTTCCAAGGGATTGGGCATTTATAGAAAACTTTGTTGACATTAAAGGAGATTGCTGTCTGTATGATTGTTGCATTTGGGAGCACCGACTAGATAAACTTTGAGGATTGAACATTGGTCTCCTCTATTTTCAGTGAATTTGACATCATGACCATCTCTGTTGGCATTATTGATTTTTTCCATTTATTCTTTATCGACAGATTGTATATATTTATCTTGAGACAACAAAAGCTGTCCACTAATTGTATCAGCAGATTGTATATGTTTATCTTGAGACAACAAGAGCTGTCCACTAATGGTGAGTGGGAAGGTCCCATAGATGTTACTCATAAAAGAAAACTCTAGTCAGTGAGATGGAAAATTACAAGCTGATTTACTCGGTTAACATCTTGAGATGGGCAACGAATAGGGGTTTCAATGACAGCTTGGGGTTGTGGTGAAGACTCTAGCTGGATAATGAATTGCCATCGATGACCGTTGTTGAGCTTTTAGCAGACTTGCTTTGATACCAAAGCAGAAATCCACAAGAACAAAATATTGCAAACTTGAAATGTTTTCTTATCAGCTTACAGAGTCGTTGCTTTACAATTCTCTTCATAAAGAAGTCTATAACAACCTCCTATAGTACTATGGAAAGTGTCTAAGATGCTACATGTTAAAAAATAACAGAAGAGTGCTCTAGAATATGATTACATTAATAAATAGATTGGAACTAGATTAAGTAAATCACCAGTACTAATTAGCTACTACCACTAGCTGATATCATGCATATTTTCATGGTAATGAGACCATTAATTGATAAGTTTATGCAAGATCTTGGCTCCTATTTCATATCTGCTTGTTTTTAATGCTGGACATACAAGGTAAATAGTTCCTATTCAATCACTCCAGGTATTTTTCAAGTTCTGATAATATGTTTTAGGAATTTAAGACCCCGAAAGGATGCACTCTAGATCCGAAACCAAGGATTAAAATGAAGAAGCGAAACAAACTTAGACTTAAAGATGTGCATGAAGAGGAAGAAAATGTTAAAGCATTTGGTACACTATATTTTATGAACTATACCCAACTCAAGTTGAGAAACTTTAAAAGCAAGTTTCTGCAGTCAGCTCCTTCCTTTAATCGATGATATGTAAAAATGAAATCAGTGCTCCTTTTTCTTCTCTTCCTTTATAGCTCTACATCACAATCCTGCAATTTCTATAGATCTGGATAAGGGTGTGGGATATTGGATTAATTATACCGTCTAACATCATAACTTTTTAGTGAGGTGAACATCATATGATTCTTCTTATACTTGCACTTGACAACAGACACACCAATAAGCCGTGGAAATCTAAAGAATTCTGCAAGTTATACTGTTGTTGTTTACTGTGGAAATGTGATCCATACCCTAGGTTCTTGATGTAAAAAGTACTTTCACCATCCTCAAGTCATTCCAGCCTTAATCCTTAATGTTTGTGTACATTGGATGTCTGTATATTTGAACTTCCATGATTTTCTATCCCTATTTCCCTCCCTAGCTTATGGCCCCTTCTCAGGAATGAACTCTCCTATTCAATCATCAATTTATCATTCACAAAGTTCTATCTAGAGATGCTTCAATTTAGTTGGATGTTTATTGTATTCAGGACTTTTGAGAGGCATATGACATAACTGTAACAAGATTATCTGGATCATTTAATAGATTGATATATGCGAGTCTTTCTTAGTTCTTATACTAACGCTGCCTTTGTTTTTCTTACATTATGATTGGCTATTTATTTTCAATCTTTGTAATCGTGAACAGGGTACCCATACTTTGATTTCTTTGATGGAGCATCCCATTTTGGTATCTGCCTCAAGCTCGTTTAAATTTCTTCCTGAGAGAAAGTTCTCAGCTTCTGAAGCAGAGTCAGAAGCATCAAGAAAGAGTAAATGGGTCTACATTTTCCAAAGGGAATATGGAACAGTGGACTCTGCACTCGTTGATGTATGTTTGAATTTTCTGTTTAAGAGTTGAAATGTAATGCTCTAAACATGTATTCTAAAAAGCGTAAAGCACGGCAAGGCCAAGCTTCAAACCTAGGAAAAGCTTAGGTGAGCTTTTAGAACAATGCTCTAAATAAAGGAACTCAAGAGTAAATCCTAAAACTTCATCCTCTAGCATAGCTGTTTGCTGCTTTCTGTTTTTTGTTATTGCTAATGCATTCAATTAATACTGCTACTCTCTTGGACATTTTTCATACTTACCATTAAATTCTAATCAGGCATAAGATATATTTCTCCCTTCTATTGCAACTCTGTTAAAATGAGACAGCTGACCCTTCTATTTCACCTCTGTTAAAATGAGGGAAGTGGATACTTTGTAATGGAGAAAGGAAATTAATGAACATAAATCAATGTGCATTAGTTAAAGACTTAGAATATGGTACTGCCTTCATGGAGATATGTCGGTAATTGACAATTTCTTTCTTGGTGCTTAAAATTCTACTGGTTCAAACTTCAAAATTAGAAGTTAAGACTTAATTTTTAGAGCTGAAGGATCCAAAATTTTAGCATTTTCATTCAGTTATGTTTGTTAGTGGGTTTAAAGTATTGCCTTCCCCTGCAATAAAAGGTCTCTCACACAGACACCCCAACCCTTAGAAAACCTGAAATCTTGGTACAAGAAAAATGCCATTATGAAATTCATGAAAGGCTTCTTCAAATGCTTGTAATTCATTTTTATTGAAGCCTTGTCTATTGTGTGTCTTGAATAAAATATCTACTTTATCATTGAAGCCTCAGCAACTATATCTTTCTAGCAGGCAATAAATAACTGACACCATCATCTCGGCTTGCTCCACTATCTTGTTTTCTTGATTTAAACTGTGTATGCCGTTTATCTCTTATCTTTCTATGGAATGTTAGTAGTGATGTTTCTGAAACTCGAATTTGATTAACTCTTAACCTCATAATTTTCTTGCATTTTTTTCCCTCGAAAAGCTTCTCTGTCCTTTTTTCCTTCATTTTGCAGATACTTCTGCATTTCATGAAAGAGTGCCATAACTAGCAAGAACTAATGAACAAATATAAGCCTTGAATCTCTTATGCTCGGACAAACTATGATTCAAATGTGGTGAAATGATTGCAAAATTTAGTAAACTTTCCGTGCCAAAAAATCTTGAAGTTCTCTTTGAAATGATTGCAGATTTCAGTTTTAAATATTTTGTTTTATTTACTTCATTTTCCTGATCACCGAACCATGTTTCACTTCTTGTAACAAGTTTGTTGGTACTGATGAGGCAACAACCTGCGTGGGCCTTGTAATCCATAACCAAAAACAAGGAATGTGAGTGTTGGACACTGTATGCAGAAGATTCCTGTTACTAAATATTTAGTGGTGCATTTTTATTGTGTGACCTTTTCTTCTTATTACAGGACTTCTGTTGCTCATTTGGATTCTCCAAACGTTGTTGATATTGGCCTCAGCCAGATGTTATCTTTGTTTTCAGATCATGATTCTGATGCCATGCTGGATGTATGATTATATTTGCTTTAATGATGATTGTTCTTATTTAGTCGTGGTCTATTGTGGGGCTTGTAACGCGTGCAAGGTTTTTCCATGCAGGTGCATCTAATAGGTGGATTTGATAATACCTCATCTAAAGTCTGGCCCAAACCCCTTCCTTGCTTTAGATTTCCTAAGGATGTTGCCATTCAGGGAAAGAATGTTAATTCTTTTGAATTTTGTGCAGAATGCAAATCTTGCTAACAGAAGTAGTGCCAAACTGGATGGATATTCATATTCTTTGTGTGCTAAGATAATTGAAACCTTGAGGGATAGGAATGAAAAGTTTCAGATTCACACTCTCCATGTTCTTCAGCATAACACCAGATGGGATCCTGACGGAACCGCACTGCCCATCTTTAGTGGATTTGTGGTTAGCTTCAACTTCATGAAGTCCTTTCCATTTTTCATTGTTACTCGTGTCAGATTGAGATTTTAAGTTTATTTTATGTGGAAGCATGAAATCAACATGTATGGCTATGATTCTAAGCTGGATTTTTGCCACTTAAGTTGGCAGTAAGAGGAGCATTACCTGCTGATAAGCTGCAAGAAAGGAAGCTTCTAATCTTAGCTAAACATGCTGGCCTTGCACATCTTATCTTATTTATTTGTTTATTTTTTCTTTTTCGGTCCAATTATACTTGAAACAAAAATATCCAGTGTGGAATTTTAACGATAATTGTTCTTTATGTGCTTTTTATTAGTTGTTGGACTATTATTGTTGTATAAGGGAAAAATAAAAATAAAACAGTCCATAGTCTCTTTAAGAATTAAAATCTCAGAAACTCATCAAGTGCATTATTTCTGTATTGGAGTTCATTTTTCTTGCACACGTGAAAGTATCTCTGAGATGTAGTCGCTTTAAATTTTTAGTATCCTTGATAACAAGAGGGACATTTTTAATCTTTTACCATGGATAAACATAAGATGTATATGTGCCCATAGTTTTTGGAAGTTTGTCAATCACAATTCTTCTGTCAGGTGGAAACGTCCACTGGGTCAATCATACCAGCCAGCTTTGATAGAACGTCAAGATGCCCAGATGAAATTGTTCGAAGAATTCGAGTCACTGCTTGCTATGGCGATCCCAATTGGGATGGCAGGTTGCTTGAGACGTATGACACCAAGACCGACCATTTTGTCATTGCTCCATGCACTTGGTACAGAGTTTTCTCTCACCTTTGCTTCTCTTGGTTCAAATGCATACATCGAATCTGCTTTTATAATGATCCCTACGGCCTAAAATTACATTAATGCCTTTTGACAGTTTATTCATAGCTCCAATATCTCTTAGTTATATTCATGTTATATCCTTTCTTCCCTATAGGAGTACACACCAATTATACATCGCAATGGCAATTCAAGAACTCTCCGATGCAGAAATCCTCCTTAGATGTTCAACTTCACCTTCTGCTGAGAGTCCAGATTTTGTGGAGAATGAAAGAAGGTGAGTACACATTTGAATGGATTTGTGCTGCACAATATTTTACATGCTTTTTCATTTTCAAGAATTGGCTTTTGGATGCACAAAGTTTGATTTGCAATATCATATAATTTAAGTTGATTTATATTCTATTATAGTATATTTCTGGTTTTGATAAAGCTATTTGTTGTGCTTCAAGGAGTAGATATCTATATGATGTCCCAGATTTTTGTAAAATGTCACCATATTTCCAAAGGGATAATGGCGAATTTAACGTGGAAACTGTTTCTTTATCCAGAAAGTGTGACTACTTGATTCGTCATCCACTTTGGAGAGAGACATTTCCCAATAAGCAGCCTCGCATATTTCAGAGGATTGAAGGTGGAAGTTGGGTGAAATGCTGAAGGTTAGAAGATTTTGATTGCACCCAGAAGGAATTTGCCGCGAAATGTATTATTTTTTTGTAAATTAAGCAGAGTGTAAACTTCACTCTGTTTCCATATTTCAGATAATAGAACAATATCTTGCAATGAGAACATATAATGCATGAATGCTGACGATGAACTTGCTCAACCATTGTTCTAGCCACTGCCTTCTGATCAAAGGGTCCTTAAAGCTTGATATTCTTTTGATTCTGACTGTTTCATGGTGCTTTGTGCAATTCTATCATTCCTAATAATACAGTTAACCCTCCGGTGGATCAAGCCTTGAGAACACTATTATTAACAATTGAGTCCTTTTGAGTCCCCTTTGCACAAGTTTATTTTCCAATTTCTCTTAATATCTAGATACCTTTGAGTACCCATAGATAGTTTCTATTCTAGAAACTTATTATTCAAGTCTTCTATGTGAGCTATTGTTTCAAAGATACAAGGGTGCCTAAAACTAAACGGCAAAAAGATAAAATATCACCTCATCGCCTCTCATTTTGCCCCATGCCCCAGATTCCCACCCAATTGAGCACAAACAAAGAACACAAAAACAGTACAAATCAAAAGCTCAGCATGGAGAGATTATTTTCCCCACAATGGCAACTATACTAATATTGCAAATGGACCGACACTGATGTGTTTGTAGAGGACAAATTACGTCCCCAACAGCAATTTGGCCTATGCTAAATGACTAAACCATCTGTAATTCAGTATAAGTACGCCATACAAAAATGGCATTATATGACGCAGCACTAAGATCAGTCAGGAATTTAATGCATTCATTGTTGTTAGATGCATATTCCTAAACCGCCTACCCTACCTGCCACTATCTAAACCACTTTTACCGTCCAAATTGTTCCCATGATGATTAAATTGCCAATTTCAGTCCATTGGATGTCCATGTCCTAAATCGCCATCATCTGTACAAGAAAAACGCCAAAAATACTCATAAAAGTGGAAACAGTTAATCACCGATACTATTTATCAGTCAATGGAAGTCATTTAACGTGACAGTTTAAAAAGATAATCAAACTCCATTAACAAAGGGGATTCCAAATATGACACAATTTTTTTTTTTAGCCCCTGTTTAATTTTGATAAAAATCTGATTTTTAATAGATTTCGATAAAAGTTGATCAAATGTGTGATTGAAAAGTTGAGTCGAATGAGGTGTGGTTGAAAATGACTTTGGAAAATATGAGTTTTAAGATATGGGAGGCAAACGGGTTTAGTGTCCCCAGTAGGATACTGGGTAACAATTCTCAACATCAAAGAAATTCCTGTAATTTCCAGTTAGTTTTTAGACCATGCATTGAAAATTTTTAGAGCTATATTTTAGAACTATTGAGTTTGATGAAAAAAACCAGAAACTACATAAATATAAGACAAAGTCCTACCATCTTCACCATCCGATATACTTGCAAGCCTTGCAAGGACATTGGTAAGCTCTTGTTCATGGTCCTGTTTTGCCAAAAGAAAAAATAACTAACCTAATTGAAAGTGAAGTCAAATATGCAAGATTAATTACCAAAATTTCAAGTGCTTTCTAACCTTCAGAAGTTTCTTTGCCTTCTCTATGTCCATAGGGTCTTGATGATCATGCCCAAAAATCCTTTCCACCTGCAAAAATTCACGAGGCAATTAGCACCCATCTTTAGTAGTATGCCCAAGTTAACATATATGTATACTCAATTACTGAAGCACCTTCTCAATTAGAGCATCAGTGTTGAAAATTTCAATAACACCATCTCCAATGCCATTCCGTGATGGCAGAAAATCCTTCCCAGATTGACTTTTGTTCAGGCCCCTACCTCTTCCTGCACCTGGAGCAGACTCTCGCACAATTGGTCTATTTGACCCATAACCTCCATGATGGAAACTTCCAGGATCTTCACCTTCCCATTGAACATCTCCAGGAGGGATCTGTTGAGGGGAAATTGAAAGTGATCATGCTGAGAGTGTGTTGAGTTACTGGTTAATCAATGAAAGCCAAACATAAAAACCATTTTCCTTTGCCACATATTGCAAGATGCAAGCAATTATTGGTAACAGACAAGCAGACAAGTGCATGGTCACCTAGATATGAATTAACACAGCATCTAATATGTTCAACCTTCTCCAACCACTTGAAACCCAAAGCAGAGATGGAAATAAAAAACCAAGGGGGATGGGGTGAAATAGTGATATTAACCAAAAATCAAGATACATAAAGCAAAAACCATATATAATTTTAATTATAACCTTGCATTGATTTTAATTAATTTAGATCTTGCATTCATATACAATTTATGGTTACAATTTAATTTTAGAAAAAAATCATAAGTTTTTATAGTTTCATTTAAGCCTAAGTTAATTTGAACTTAATTAGTACAATTTCTTTGGGTACGATACTTGGACTCAAAATCCATTTTACTACTCGTTAACGAACCATGCACTTGCGGTATTTTAAAATGAAAGAATATTTTCGCAACAGTTAAAGTCACAAATCTGTCATACGTCATGTAAAAGTTATGTTTTCCTTAGGACTATAGAATTGTCTTGGAACTCTAGATCCTACAATTAAATTCTAGCCTTTATCCATATTGAAGTCAAAGGAAGATAGAACACAAAAGCCAACTATTTCCACCAACATTTAGTTTTTTGCTCTCTCATCTGCAATTTATTTATGTGTTACTTTGTAAGCGATCAACACATGATGGCCATTGGCTTCAAGATGTAATCTTAAACCCGATGGTCAAGTCCAGTAAGATACAAATAATTTCCATCGTACTTCAGTTTGGTTTTAGTGGACTCTATTGCTTGGATTCTTCGAAATGGACAGAGTACCCGTGTCGGACACAACACGACATGGGTATGGGATATGTGTCAGATCCTCCAAGTTTCAACCAGACACTTTGCCCTTTTTACTTCTTCTTTCCTTTCCTTTCTTTCCCGTTTTTGCTTTCTATATTTTCTATAAACTTAGCGTTTCCTTTGAGAGGTTGGAGAAAGGCGAAAGCGCTAGGTTTTCCTTCCTTTCTTTTTTATTTCCCTTTTCTTCTTTTTTCCTTCTTTCCCTCTTTGTATCGGTGCTTTAAAGTTTTGTTTATATAAAATGAAAATGTGTTTCATATAGTACTATTTATTGTTCCACTAAGTCCAAATCGCAATCAAGTGCCCCATTATCTATGTTATATAACATTTAGTAATTAACTTTCCATAATTGAAAACTAAATCTCGAAATTCTATTTTATTCGTCTTAACTCCTTATTCAATACTCATTTCCTTATTTGTAAACAATTGTTTTTGGTCTATTCAAATCGTATCTTGGGTTAGTAAAACAATTGGAAGTTTAAAAGACATGTCCACATATGTTAGAAATTTAGACTCTTTTTAGTCATGCCCCCATATCTTATATTTTAGAAAATAAAATATCCGACACTTAAATACGTACTTGTACCTGACACCTGTACCCGGGTTCGATCATCATAGTTAGTGAATGAGAGTTTTAACTTGAATAAAATGTGCCAAGTTTATTGCTATTTGATGGACGCTGAATACTATAATACAGAGGGATTCATGCTCCCCAATGAGGGCAACGTTACCACCTTACCGAATGGAGAGATGAATGATATACACACACTGACGAGGAGATTTAACACAATGCATTAGAATTTCAGGAATGTGATTGATTGTTAAAAAAGGCAATGGAAGATTTGGATAGCTAATCATCTCTCCCACTTAAACACACACACTCCAGTAATTAAAAAAACTTAAAAAAGGAAAGAAAAACAAGCAAAATCTCAGCCGCATTAAGGCTCCTAAACCGCCTACCCTACCTGCCACGATCTAAACCACTTTTACCGTCCAAATTGTTCCCATGATGATTAAATTGCCAATTTCAGTCCATTGGATGTCCATGTCCTAAATCGCCATCATCTGTACAAGAAAAACGCCAAAAATACTCATAAAAGTGGAAACAGTTAATCACCGATACTATTTATCAGTCAATGGAAGTCATTTAACGTGACAGTTTAAAAAGATAATCAAACTCCATTAACAAAGGGGATTCCAAATATGACACAATTTTTTTTTTTTTAGCCCCTGTTTAATTTTGATAAAAATCTGATTTTTAATAGATTTCGATAAAAGTTGATCAAATGTGTGATTGAAAAGTTGAGTCGAATGAGGTGTGGTTGAAAATGACTTTGGAAAAGATGAGTTTTAAGATATGGGAGGCAAACGGGTTTAGTGTCCCCAGTAGGATACTGGGTAACAATTCTCAACATCAAAGAAATTCCTGTAATTTCCAGTTAGTTTTTAGACCATGCATTGAAAATTTTTAGAGCTATATTTTAGAACTATTGAGTTTGATGAAAAAAACCAGACTATACATAAATATAAGACAAAGTCCTACCATCTTCACCATCCGATATACTTGCAAGCCTTGCAAGGACATTGGTAAGCTCTTGTTCATGGTCCTGTTTTGCCAAAAGAAAAAATAACTAACCTAATTGAAAGTGAAGTCAAATATGCAAGATTAATTACCAAAATTTCAAGTGCTTTCTAACCTTCAGAAGTTTCTTTGCCTTCTCTATGTCCATAGGGTCTTGATGATCATGCCCAAAAATCCTTTCCACCTGCAAAAATTCACGAGGCAATTAGCACCCATCTTTAGTAGTATGCCCAAGTTAACATATATGTATACTCAATTACTGAAGCACCTTCTCAATTAGAGCATCAGTGTTGAAAATTTCAATAACACCATCTCCTGCATCTCCAATGCCATTCCGTGATGGCAGAAAATCCTTCCCAGATTGACTTTTGTTCAGGCCCCTACCTCTTCCTGCACCTGGAGCAGACTCGCGCACAATTGGTCTATTTGACCCATAACCTCCATGATGGAAACTTCCAGGATCTTCACCTTCCCATTGAACATCTCCAGGAGGGATCTGTTGAGGGGAAATTGAAAGTGATCATGCTGAGAGCGTGTTGAGTTACTGGTTAATCAATGAAAGCCAAACATAAAAACCATTTTCCTTTGCCACATATTGCAAGATGCAAGCAATTATTGGTAACAGACAAGCAGACAAGTGCACGGTCACCTAGATATGAATTAACACAGCATCTAATATGTTCAACCTTCTCCAACCACTTGAAACCCAAAGCAGAGATGGAAATAATGAGGCTAAAAGAGCCTATCTGTTTGACCTTATTCTACTGCCTATTATTTGATTGGTGCTATTTACATTTTCATCTTGAAAGCCTGTACTATGATGTGGTTATTATGGGCTCAACTACAATAAAGAGACATTTTCATCATCTTTTATTATCTTCGGTCATTTTCTTATTTTACCAAAGTATGACTTTATTTAAAAATCGAAAACAATACTGCATTTTTTATCCACAAATATAAGTCACATATAAATGATTTTGATTATGATCACAAGTCGACCCAACAAAATTTCTTTCAGATTTTGATATCAATTCTTGGTTGAACCAAAATGATCTCTTTGGGTACGATACTTGGACTCAAAATTCATTTGACTACTCGTTAACGAACCATGCACTTGCGGTATTTTAAAATGAAAGAATATTTCGCAACAGTTAAAGTCACAAATCTGTCATACGTCATGTAAAAGTTATGTTTTCCTTAGGACTATAGAATTGTCTTGGAACTCTAGATCCTACAATTAAATTCTAGCCTTTATCCATATTGAAGCCAAAGGAAGATAGAACACAAAAGCCAACTATTTCCACCAACATTTAGTTTTTTGCTCTCTCATCTGCAATTTATTTATGTGTTACTTTGTAAGCGATCAACACATGATGGCCATTGGCTTCAAGATGTAATCTTAAACCTGATGGTCAAGTCCAGTAAGATACAAATAATTTCCATCGTACTTCAGTTTGGTTTTAGTGGACTCTATTGCTTGGATTCTTCGAAATGGACAGAGTACCCGTGTCGGACACAACATGACATGGGTATGGGATATGTGTCAGATCCTCCAAGTTTCAACCAGACACTTTGCCCTTTTTACTTCTTTCCTTTCCTTTCTTTCCCGTTTTTGCTTTCTATATTTTCTATAAACTTAGCGTTTCCTTTGAGAGGTTGGAGAAAGGCGAAAGCGCTAGGTTTTCCTTCCTTTCTTTTTTATTTCCCTTTTCTTCTTTTTTCCTTCTTTCCCTCTTTGTATCGGTGCTTTAAAGTTTTGTTTATATAAAATGAAAATGTGTTTCATATAGTACTATTTAGTGTTTCACTAAGTCCAAATCGCAATCAAGTGCCCCATTATCTATGTTATATAACATTTAGTAATTAACTTTCCATAATTGAAAACTAAATCTCGAAATTCTATTTTATTCGTCTTAACTCCTTATTCAATACTCATTTCCTTATTTGTAAACAATTGTTTTTGGTCTATTCAAATCGTATCTTGGGTTAGTAAAACAGTTGGAAGTTTAAAAGACATGTCCACATATGTTAGAAATTTAGACTCTTTTTAGTCATGCCCCCATATCTTATATTTTAGAAAATAAAATATCCGACACTTAAATACGTACTTGTACCTGACACCTGTACCCGGGTTCGATCATCATAGTTAGTGAATGAGAGTTTTAACTTGAATAAAATGTGCCAAGTTTATTGCTATTTGATGGACGCTGAATACTATAATACAGAGGGATTTCATGCTCCCCAATGAGGGCAACGTTACCACCTTACCGAATGGAGAGATGAATGATATACACACACTGACGAGGAGATTTAACACAATGCATTAGAATTTCAGGAATGTGATTGATTGTTAAAAAAGGCAATGGAAGATTTGGATAGCTAATCATCTCTCCCACTTAAACACACACACTCCAGTAATTAAAAAAACTTAAAAAAGGAAAGAAAAACAAGCAAAATCTCAGCCGCATTAAGGCATAAGCCATGGCAAATTGAGGTGTAAGTCATTATAACTCAAGAAGATCGTGGCTTAGGGTATAACCTTTTGGGTCTCTCTTCGAAACAATGGATGTAACCAAAGAAAAATAAATATGACCTATTGCCTCCAGTTAATTTGAAGGCACAATTGTGAATTGCCTGTGCTATTGACCCATTTCGACTACTCGTGCACAACATTAACGAGACATAAATCATGAGTACGAGCACGAGGACAAATAGGAGAAATAACTCTACAGGGGTAGCTTATAAAAATTTAAGGGCTAACTAATCGTTCGAGTAGCTAACATCCTTTTTGTCGAGGCTCCAAAGCTCAGTATCATTTCTGAGGCTAAAAGAGCCTATCTGTTTGACCTTATTCTACTGCCTATTATTTGATTGGTGCTATTTACATTTTCATCTTGAAAGCCTGTACTATGATGTGGTTATTATGGGCTCAACTACAATAAAGAGACATTTTCATCATCTTTTATTATCTTCGGTCATTTTCTTATTTTACCAAAGTATGACTTTATTTAAAAATCGAAAACAATACTGCATTTTTTATCCACAAATATAAGTCACATATAAATGATTTTGATTATGATCACAAGTCGACCCAACAAAATTTCTTTCAGATTTTGATATCAATTCTTGGTTGAACCAAAATGATCATGGTTATTTTAGCCGTGTTGTGCCTTTAATTCCTATGGTAAATCAACTGCCACCAATAATTATATCTTTGATAATTCCTAAACAAAGATTTCGTCATGTAATAGTACAGTAACACTAATATACAAATCCTCAACATAGCGTTACACAAATCATCATTCTTATAATACTTCAGCTCTTGTTTGAGCCCCATTATTTGGTAAAAATAGATTTTGGAATAGAGATTGATTTGGAGAATGTGTGGTTGAAAAGTAGGAAAAAGTTTTCAATTTTACGCATAAAATTATTTCATTAAGAGTGTGTGTGGTTGAAAATGAGTTTGGAAAAAAATGTATTATAGAAAAATGGGGCTCAAACAAGAGCTCAATTCTATGTTCAAGATTTTCTGATCTGTCACTGACTTCATTAGAAACTTAAATATCAGGTTCATTTTCCTAAATCATTATCAACTCTCTAAGTTATATAGATAAGATATATATCTTCAACCTTGCTAACGAGATATTCTGAAAGCACCGCCGGTATTATCCTTCCCACTTGTGGACATCATAAAATATAGTTCACCATAGATACATTTCCCCATAACCACCACCTAATGTATAACGTGCAAAAGAGACATACAAGTCTCTGTGTTATTTAAATGCTATTAAAAATGGAAAATGATAACAGTCAGGTGTTCTATTTTCAGCTCATACCTATATTTTCTCACTTGGAATATAAACTATATACCCATGACCACAAGATGCTCTGGAATATCGTGCACACCTCTTGATTTATCCATCAACTAAATGTTATTAATGAAGGATTCAGATGTTCTCTTTCCATCCTTGCCTAAAACTATATCTTGTTAATAACGCATCAAATATGGACTACAAGTGTATCGATGATTGTAAGACCCTTCAACGTTCTAATTACTCCTCTTGGTCATAATAAATCTTAATGGGAGGTTCACACAAACTCAAATATTTAACCTATGTCTCCACAAAAATGTTTTTAGACAATGGGGGCAGAGAATTGATTTTCGAAGATTCATCTTGAATTTCTCTCTAATATGAAGTAAAGTTACGTCTAAATGACACAGGTTGGCTGCAAAGCTACCAAACATGAGATAAATATTGCATCTGTCACTTCGGTGAACACGAGAATTGCAATTCACATATGTAATTCTCAAATAAATTAGTAATAAAGAAAATCTTAATGTGGAAGAAATTCAAAATGTTAATTTATTGTTTAATAACATGAGAATAAAGCATATATCTACCTCAGCAAAGTTGACCCACTCCGATGTTTCATGTGGAGTGCCCATATCATAAACAAGAGCATGTAGTCCCTGGAAAATGTTGCAGAGACTACATAAGCATTAAATGGGTAAATAGAAAGCACACCAAATCACTACAAGTCAAATATACCTCAGCCGGACTATAGTCAGCTATGACAGCTTCATAGAAATTGTTATCATCAGGCCATCTGGTCCTTACTTTCCTTCCAATTAATGGATCAAATGAACCTCCTGTAAGGCCACCTGAAGAAATACGGTTACCAAACTGACCTCTTCCAGCAGAAATAGAGGATGGATATTGCATTTTTATTGAAGATGCACCAGGGGGTATCTGACCCTGAAATAACAATTAGAATCATAATGGGTTGCAGGGTCTATGTTCGTATTTAAGTTTTATTAACTTACTCGTTTGTGCTGCTGGCTCTTCAGCCCCATTATGGGTCCATGCTTTACAGCTGATGAAGGTGGCTGGTTTGCTAGGTTCATTGACTGTGAGGGAAAAAGAGAGGGACCTCCAAAGGCTATCTTCTCTTTTTTATGAGAAGCTGGGAAGGAAGGGGGCAAGGAACCGTGGACAGTTTGACCAACACCATGCATGCCTGGTTGAAAGCCACCAGACAGTCTCCACTCCCTAATTGCATTCCCAATTTGGCACATCAAAAGAAAGAAAATAGCTCATTTTGCATTCCCCTAAATTGGAAAACCAAGTAAGACTTCTAAGAAATGCGAGGAAGTTTTTGGATGAAAGAAAAACCTTATTCTTTGGATCGTTTCATCTACATTAACCTGGCCAAGAAGTTCCCTGTGCTCTTCATTTGACAGTCTTAACTCTTTCCTGAGTTCAGTTATTAAACTTTCCTTCTCCTATAGAAGAATCACATTACTTTGAAGTCATTAAAAAATTGGTAAGAATTATGCTAATATTAGATTCACTTGCTCAACGAGAGAAGAATTACCCAAGTAATGGCATCGGCTTGAGCTTTAAAGGCTCTCAGGACTGATCTATATGCTTCTTGCTCGAGCAGATGAATTTTGTCTTCCATATCAGTTTCATCATATATCCTAGGATATGGAACAGAACCCACGATAGAAGGCCTTCCATTCCCAGCAGTGCCACCACCTCTTTGAATTCTATTTTGATGAGGGAGATCATCTTCAGTCCCTGCACCAATATCAATATTGCAAATATGAAAAAATTAGTATTTTTGGACCAATGCCAGAGTGGCAAAAATTAATACCAAAAGCAAAGCAATTAGGAAAGTGAAATATTGAAACCACGCATCACTCAAAGTTTTCAAAATTGCAAAGAACAGGGTGAAATTAATAAATCCGCGAGATGAGTAGTAGTTATGCTCCTACATAGGTAAGAGACAACTATTAAATATATATTTCTATGGCGTCAAACCAGAAAGCTGTTAGACATGAATTTACTAATTAAATTAGGAGATCTTTTCCAAAAGTGGTCCAATCCATATATCCGTGGACGATTTACTGCATGGGCACATCGCTTCAGCCTTAACATCTTTCAAAGTGAAAGCAGCAGGTAGAGACAAACAAAATTAACAAAGAGCTGGCGAACTGGTTGTCCAAGGCTTTGTCATATCACATATCACAAAGGACGAGGGTAGTAAAAAGGAACCACTACTTTGAGTAAGCATAAATGCGTAATCTAGCACTTAATAATCAAAAACTGATCAATATAAAATTCGATGCAAATCTAGACACCCAGTCATAAGAGGCCCTACCATTTTATCCTCTTTCCAATAATTACAAGGTAGCTTTCTGAAGATATGTAGAGACCACCAGGGAACAGGAATGCCCATTACAATTTGAATTGCTCGTTACCATAGGCAACAGAAAATAGAGAAGCAATGGTGCCTACATATCCTAAGCAGCAGAACCTTAAAAATGGGTGACACTCTGAAAATGAGTACAAAGTAGTACCAAAAAAAGGCCATACATCAGGTAGGTAAACTACTTATATATCGATATTCAACCACTTCCATTTAATGTTTTCGCGAATCAAGGCAATCCTACTTGATTCACCTCTGTCCCTTAAAAATGGGTGATAATATAAATCCATACTCAATAAGGCCGTACGTGAGATGCAGTATGTCAACGAGTAGCACTTGATCAATATTAACCATAAAACTTACTATACATCCATATTCTACCACCTGTCTCACTATTTCTACTTCTGAAACACGAGGTACCTCTTGAAACCTCTATCAAGTACAAAAAGTTTGTAAATGAATGCATGGTATAATCAGATCAAAATCCTCCTCTCCATATAGTAAGTCTTACATAAACTTCCAAGAACCACGGTATTGAATTGCACGTGCTTATGATTCTTCTAATGGAAAATGCATCTATTAGCAAACCTTGATGTTTTTCTCCCAAGCATATTTTGCATAACGAATCCTTTATAAAATGATTTGAAACTGATGAACATGCTGTGAATCTTGCCTAAACTCTAAACCCTAAACAGAGAATCTGTATTAACTAAAAATCGAGTTAATACAAGATTATTCGTTTAAGGTTTAGAAATCGCAAACTGATAAACGCAGATAGCCTTCCAAATTTAGAATCCAAGCCATAACTTTTGGAGGAAAAAAAAAAAATTCCAACTATGGTCGAACTATAAAATCAAGCAAGAAAATTCAGTAATTCTATTCAAAAAAAAAAAAAAAAAAAAAACTGAAAGCTCGAGTATAAACCCTAGTCACCCCAAATTCACATACACATTAATGTCTATTATAAGAAAATCACGCACCACTACTATCATTCTCCTGGTAGTCCATAGCCCGCTTTCAATAGCTTCGTACGAGGGGAAAACACAACCGTGTGCTGAGGGGAAATGAGTTAATTTCACCTATAGTCACTTAAGTTTGTAAAAAATTTCAAATTGGTTTTTAAATGTTTTTCTTTACTCTATTAGACACGGAAGAATATATAGGTTCCACAAATGGTCGCTAGATTAGAAAAAATGATCAAATGGCCGTCATTGTGACATGATTTCAAAATATATATACTGATCTAATTTGAATTAATTTATTTTCTACGAATTTATATTTACTCGTTTATGCTAACATTCATTCACTGCCTAAAATTAAGATATATGAATGTAGTATCATTGTCGTCGCAATCTTTCTCTATCGACTTGTCACTGCTTCGACGCCCCTAGTTCCAACTTTATCAAAGTTTGCAAACATGATTACTTGTAGATGTAGTTGTTATAAGTTTTGTCGTATGATGTTTGTTATTTGGGTTTCACAAATAACAGTTGACATCTCGATAAGGAACGTCTAACGCTAATGGCAACTGATGTATTGAATTTGCAAAAATATTAGTTCTTGAAAGTAAATATTTGGATCAAAGATTTAGAAAGTTTTTACAATTTTATTAATTTTTTAAATTTTAATCAAACAAACCAACCTTCTTGAAGCCAAATAACAAAGTATACTTGAAATTTCCCCAAACGTCCCCTAGCTCCTAACAAAATAGAAATTAAATCATAATTAAATAAAACATTATATTTTTGAATAAATAGTAGAGCAAGCCCCGTATAAAGTCATGTTAGCCCCTGTTTGGAGGACATTTTGTGGAAGAAGAAAATTAATTTTTGGACCGTTTGTTGGTCACTTGGGCCCCACATGAGAGTGTACTGGTCAAAGAAAAAGGGCTGCCAACAGATGCTAACGGTAGGAAAATGAATTTTTTGCCCAAAAAAGGCCATCGAAACACCCTCTAAATTAACAAAATTGCTATCGTGACTAACATAAATGTGATGATAATCTCATTCTTTAGGTCACATTTTGACCTTTAACTTTTCATTATATTGAGACAAAAATCGCAAACTAATAATCGAATTTTGACTAATTCGTAATTGATCAAACCCTACTTGCAAACAACTCTTTTGATAAAAAAACGAAATGCTCCCGGAAATTCTTGCTCCTATTGGACCATTTGTAGTTATATGCATCAAGATCCACATGACAAACAAAGGGATAATCAGCAGTATAATGAAGTGAATGGTGTGATCCCCTTGCTTGTGGAATTGAAAGGGGGCCTCGACAGCAGAAGAACGACAATCAAAGGCAAAAAGAAAAGTAGGCCAGATGTAGACATTAAGGGCTTGTATCTATTGAAGATTTGGTTCAAGAATTGTGTAACTTTATAGAGTTTCTGAAAATAGAATGTGATGAGGAATGTAACAATTTAATAACCAGCAATTAAAGAGAGGGAAAGAAAAGGAGAGAATCAGAGAGATTTGTGTTCGAATTCAATAATAAAGTTGTCTTGTTACGAATAAAAAGCCTGTTTATATAAACTAGGATAATTTCCTCTATAAAGAAAAAAAATAAATGCTCTTATAAATGCAATAATAAAATTGATTTAATTTCTCCTACGCCTAGAATAGACTTTCTATGTTGCATCAGAATGCCTTTAAAGGCTTTACAGAAAAAAATATTGATTCATCATTACAATTTACAACCTATCCGTCTACGCAGCGATGCACTCGAACATAATTCTTATGTTGTTTTCACTTTGCGTTCGAACATTGTCTCAAGTTGCTTCGCTTGTTCTTCGATCCGCGTCTGCAACTTTCTTTGACACTAATCACAGACGAAATAAAAAATGAGTACTAAAGGATTAATGAAGTGATGAGTGAAATAGCAAAGGGAGATAAAAATCAAACCTCCAATTGCTCGTATATGCGCCTTTGGAAATCTACCTGAAGCCTTAGTGCTTCTACTATTTGCCTCCCCCTGTATATATCACATACCGAAAAATCTTTATAAGGTCTCAAGTATATCTGAAAACGTCGTTTAACAAGAGTAAAACAATCCCTCTTCAAGGGTGTGGTCGACCAAATTTAACATAGTCCAAAGTCGTTTCAAAAGAATTTATTTCCTTGGACGTAAGTATTCATGTAGTCGATTTCAAATTTATTAAAGGTGAAAATCAGCTGAAGATATACTTATTATTATAGGATGTTATGAATCCACATTTGGAACTCTCTTTTTTCTTCTCTCCTTTCAGTCATCAGCAAGAATCTTGAATTTTTGTAAGAAATTCATATTGGATGTAAAACTTACGTTTCTGCATCGAGTTGTGTTGTTGAATCTGCGCATATCTGTTTCCGACCTTTCCCTGCATTAGTGAAATAGATAAAACCATAAACAATTTGTCGAGAGGCTTGAGTTTTTAGACGAGGTGGTTCAAAACTGTTCAATATCAATTTGAGTGACATCTGCTAGTGAATCATGGTGCACGCGCGCGCAAGTGAAACGAAACTATAGAAAGTTTACAAATAGCAAGGAAACCAGTATTGTGTTCCAAGTTACACCAGAGCCAGTACCTTCTATAGATTCTGATATGTAGTGAGAAAAGCGATACTTCTGCGGAAATTAAACGAGAAAATTATAGAAAAACTCGAGTTTCTTGAGCTGAATATAAGAATAGTAGCTTGGCAAACCTGTAAATGGCTCTTAACATGAACGATTGTCAATCCTTCACAATTCATTAGCTTCAGGATCCCCTTAGGTGTTGCTTCTGCACACAGCCAATTCAGCTGTATCATAAGTAATTATTAGATTTTAATTACAATTGCTTCAAATAAGTGCTTATTTTTACTTACTTTTGGCACCCCCAAGTCGATTTACGCAGTCGATGAATTTCTTATGAAGATCCTGAGTCCATCTAATCCGCGTTCGATTTCTCAAGGTTGGCTTTTGTGAGACAACATTGTTTGGAACAATGGTTGTAATCCCTCGGGAACAATCTGGCTTCATAATCTGAGTCCCATAGGAATAAATTTTCGTGTCTCAAAATGTACGTAAATATATTGTTTTAAATGAGAAACGGAAAATCAGATATGAGTCGAGTCAAACTAATTTACTCACTTCGAAATTTTTATCGATGCTTGAAAAGGAGTGAGTCGAGCTTTGATGCTGCTCGAAGAGGGATCTAATGGAGTTCCCCTGCAAGTTAAGGACTTGATTACCATGAAAAGAAGATTGCACAAGGGAATGCAAAGTGTCTCTATGTTGATAATTGGCATCATCTTCTTGTGATGAATCAAAATCATCCAAAGGTCTAAACATTTGATAACACGACGAGGCGTTGCCAACTTTATGATCGGTTAAATAACTTGGCGACTCAAACCGGAAGGAAACATCAACATCGACCGATCCAAATTCATGCCGAACATCAATCTGTCGACTATTCATCTTTAGACCACGAACTAGAAAAATGAAAAGAAAGTCGAAGAACGAACTCGAAAGGCCCGTGCTTTATAACAAGTCTGCCTAAAAATATCATAGAAGAATCAGTGGCAAATGACAAGAAGACTCCAAGAAATAGGAGATTGTATCAATGAGGAGCTCTATATAACAAGAAATATGCAATTTTTTTCCCTAAAGCTTTGTGTATGCTTTTTGAATTATTTTAATAAGGAAAAGGATAGGGAGGAAATTGACAGAGAAATAGGCCAAGAATTTAAATGAACATTCATTTGTATCCTTTGACCTATGCAGATTCTTTTAAAAAGTGAAGTTTTAGTCAGTTAAATAATATAATACAATTGTGGGAATGTTGTCATAATGTCAATAGGATTACAAAGTGTTATCATTGTTGTCTACGTCGCAGCAATAATCCTAGAAATAAAAATATAAAATTCCTAGTTATTTATGGTTCAACGCTCACTCGTGTCATCTGGAAAACGAGCGGACAGGATTGATCATCTTCGAGAAGTTTTCTATTTTTAAAGTGCATATTTAACAATTTAGAGAGCATTTATAAATTGAGCATACAAATTTTAAATATTTCAACAGGCTCTTTATCTTTAATAGTTAATTTTACCTTTATATTTCATTTTCACTAGTTTCCCTCCAAATTTTTATATTATTTTTCTGCTTTGAAAATTAAAATATTTCATATATTTTTAATTATAGAGATTATGTTTGACCCACTTTTTATTTTCCAATGTTAATTCGAAGAGTCAATTTAAACATAATTTTAAGGGTTCACTCTTTAAAAATAAAAATCTCTATCTATTTTAAAGAGTGTTGAAAATGCTCTCATAGAAGAAAATATATGAGGAAGTTTTAAAAATGAATTTGTATTCAAATTGTTCATACCACCTCAATATTTCGCTTGTCGTAGATTACGAAGAACTCTTCTCATTTCATCGTAATATTTCATTTATCATCGTTCAACTCTTCTCATAAATGAAATGAGATATATCTATTCACTCCAAATGGAAGCAAATTTGATACATGGTCGTAGAGTGTGTAGGTGCGGGTCACAAGAGTCTCTTACGTCATTTTTAATCAAGATTATAAGAAACCATACAAAAGATAATCCTCCTACCATATGATTGGTAGCAATAAATGAAAATTAAACATGAGTTTTATTTAATTTTAATATAATATGCTTTGTGTACAGTGGCCAAATATAATGTGTCTACAAAAACAAGGGTTTATTGGTTATGAAGGGACGCGGCGTCTCGATCATTCATTTGGGACGATATTTCTTGCATAAAATCACTTGTCCAGGGTTAAAAACAGGGGAGTAAAGATACATGCTGACGTCTCAAAAATTGATTCATATTTTTGTTTTAATTTTTCAAATTGTCTAATCATACATCGACACGGGTCCTATTTGAATTTGAACCTAAATGTGTAGCATGATTGATATTTCTTTGTCAATTCGAGCATGTTTGATGGTCATTAAAAGAAATTGAAGCCGGCTTGGCTCATAAATGTTAACTAAATTAAACGGACGCTTAGGAGTTTGAAAGGACTCTTAACAACTTTATGTGACTTTCGAAAAGGTCAAACCAATAACAACATGAATTGCAATTTTTGTGAGTATTTCAAAGATAAATAATTCATGCACCTGTCTGATAATAGGTCTTGTAACCTCCCAAGTTCGTCTCGACCCATTTTGTCAACGAGTCAAGCCTGAACTGATTGTTAATCAAGAGCTAAAAGCCATGCTCGAACCACGGGCTCTGCCCATGTAGGGCCAAGATGAACCATTCTAGAGGCCGTCGTATATATTTTTAATTAAATTGCAGAAATTTAAAATAAAATAAATAAGGGATATATACGACATGTAATTTATTATTAAAATCGATTTTCTTATTTGTTCATGTAAAATTAAAAAATATTAAAGGTTACTTTTTCTAATCAATCAAGTCAAACGTTGATTTTAACCAAACATTTTGTGAAACTCAGTACTCAACTTCCTAAAAAGTTAATAATAATTTTAACCGAACACTGTTAAGAAAATTAAAACGTAATTAATGGCTTCCAATAAATAAATGTTGCATATCTATACAATGAGTAAAAAAGGTACAAAGTTATACACGACATGATGTAAGAGGCTAAGAATTCTTTTTTTTTTTTCCAATTATGTATATATATGTTTGTTCAACTATAATCTCATCATCCCGAAAATTAATACGTGTTTAGAAATTCACAAAGCATATCTTTGGTGACATTTAATTAAAACTAATGCTATCTAACATCGATTGTGTTAAAACACAAGTCTAGATATCAACATATCATATGTCCTATTAAATGGATCATAATTTCATATATTTAAAAGTAATCAAACACGCCATTATTTCCTTCAACAAAAGAAGTATCATATATATTTGTTCTATTTTGTAACCAAAACCACAAAACAAATTAAACACAACAACACAAATCATGATAGCAATCCTCTTTCATCATTTTCATTTTTTGTATGTTTTTTTAATTATCGCACAGATTTCTTCCTTCAAAATGCTAGACAAAAGTCATTCTTTTCCCCTCAGCAATAGTTTGCACTAAAAACCAGCCCATCCACTAGGTTGGGAACCCAACTTGCTTTCCTTGTTCTTTGATTCACCAACGCGTTTAGAATTTTTCAGTTCGCCAACAGGTACATTTACCTGAGAGCTAGCGACCGGAACAGCCTTAAAATTATCTGCTTCAAACCCCCATTTATTGGAACCAGAATCGAATTCCACAGCTTGTCTATTCTGGTGATTGTTTCTTGTTCTGACAGATTTAGGAGCATCATTTGATGAAGTCGTCTGTGGCTTGGAAACATCAATGAAAGCCTGCCACGGCTGAGATTCTGGGCTTGGAGATCTTCGATCAAAGAAACCCTGTTGGAGTTCCAAGACGGTTCCTTCAATCTTTTCATTCTGTTTTAACAATAATGAACATAAAAAGATACAAGTTAATCGTGCTAGAACATTAAAAGAAAAGTAACGATTTAAGATTGATGGAAAATACTACTGTAGGGGTAGATAATTGGCTTCCAGGCGTTGCTAGGTTTCTAGAGGAATCTCTATTCGGTGGAGTTCTTGCTGCAAGACCTTGCTTAAGTTCTTGTATCTCTTGTCGTTGTGATCTGCAAATTGCAGATAGCTTTTCATATTTGGAAGTTATCTCAGCCTTCTCCGTATTGACATGTGACAGCTGCTCTTTCAGCATTTCTACCTCAGCCTTTAACATCTCTTCCTGTGATGATTTCTGACTGTCACTGCCAGGACTCGATTTAGTAGTACTCAATTCACCAGCAAAAGCATTGAATCTCTCATTTTGAAAGGTAAGTTTGCCCTCTGGTTTTGGTTGTTTGAATCTTTCGGTATTATAATCTGAATCATCAGGGAACAGATTTATTTTGACGTCCTGAGAAGGACCGTTCCCCGGCATATTGACAGATCTTCCCAGTGAATTCTTTTGAAGATCTTCTGTTTTTCGCGGGGTTACATGGGAAGCTGGACGAGTCTCATGTCCGGAGGATGTATGGCTGGTTAAGTCTTCATCATATTTGGGCCTAGTTTTCTCCTCCAGGCCCACTGAATCCTTGGCATGCTGAGTGGTCCAGAACGCACCTAAAGGACCTGTGCTTCCACCTGTATTTCGATTACTCGAAGATGCCGATACATTCTGAGGCACTTCAGTTGAGGGAGGAGGTGGGGGACTTCTACGAGGCATCGGATTAGACTTATTTGAAGGCTTTGCCGTGCCTGCATATATACATATAGCCCATAGGTTGAGGGTTCAAAAATTAATTGGAAATTCGTAGTTTGGATTTTCTAGCATAAGAAGATGTAAACTTTTTCTTACCACAGATTGCGCACATTCCCTTGACATTTTTGAATCAATAAAAGTTTAATTATACACCTCAACACTTTAAATTCTGAAAACAAGATCAATGTCCTCACCTCCGAGCACATCAGTACTCTGTTGCTGTATTTCTGGAGGTCCGTCAGGTAATGACTTCTGTAACTCCTCTGGTAATAGACCATTAACACGAAACCAGACCTGCAAAAAAAGGAACAGCTAAATGCGGTTAGTAAGCACAGATATGAGCTTAGCCCTTGCGACTATCACGGGCACAAACAATCTACAACTAACCTAAATTCATCGAGATCAATGGCCAATCAAGCAAAATGCTTGCCTGCGTGATATCTGGTCTGTCATCTGGAGAAGATTGAAGCATATCTCTAATAAGGTCAACGATTGACTTGTTGTATTTTGGCATATCTGGAATGCGATAGTTCCCGTTTAAAACTTGGAGTTTTGATTCACCATCAAACGCTGACTTGAAGTAACTTATCCGGAAAAGGAGACAACCTAGTGCCTGCAAACTAACAAGCTAAGTATTGCATGTTTACCAATTTTGCACAAGATTCATGCATGCTAAGATACCTTTTGGATTTTCATAGGGAACCTAAGAACAAGTCAACTTACCCATATGTCTACCTTCTCATTTATAAGTTCTCTTCGAAATAAATCCCACATCTATACCATAAAAAGGAAAGAAAGGAGTCAAAAGCTGTACCATAAAAAATAACAGTAATATCCTGATACATAGTCCTCCACCTACCTCGGGCGCTCTATATGCAGGCGTAGTGTGTTTCCTGATATTATCTTCCTCAATTCCCATTTCTTCAGGTTTCTCAAAGCGTTTATGATTGGTAGATGTACTACCAAAATCACACAATTTCCAAAGTCCATCAGATCCCAGTAAAAGATTTTCTGCCTTCAAATCTCTGTACAATGCAATGCAATGATAAATCATAAATATATAAGTTATGACAATAAGAAATTTAGAATCTCAGAATAGCATTTAAGTCCAATAACGATCTTATTTTTGCACCATGGAACTGGAATTAGAACCAAACAAAATTCCATGAAGGCAATTTTGTAGCATATTCTTACTCTGCAGACCCAAAAACATAAGTATGGCTACTCTGCATACAAATACATTACTCTAGCAAATACAGGCTCAAATAGACATGTTTAAAATGATAAAACTCAATAGAGGCATAGATTATGGCAATCCCTGAAAATAGACTGAACGTGACAACTTGTTAGGAAGATGATGAATCTAAAATAAAACCATGCAGTGACAAACATCATGAATCCTTGCCTGTGAGCAATGGGTGGAGTCTGACAGTGCATTGCAAAGACAGCATTGCACACATCCCTGAAAATTACAAGGATCTGCTTCTCCTCAAAGAATCCAGCTCCCCGATTCTCCAGCACATTAACTAGAGACTTCTCACAATATTCCATGAGGAGGAGAGCCTCCTTAGTTCGACCCAGATCAAAGATGGTATGGGCATAAAGGGTGACAATATTGGGGTGCCCTTTAAGTGATTTCATAACTGAGATCTCCTTCATTACTAGTTCTAACAATTCTTCATCATTACATATGATGTGCTTTAGTGCATACTGCTTGGAGCCATGTATTGCATCTCGAGCAGAATAAACAGAGGAGAATCCACCTTCTGCAATGACATTACGAACCTGAACTTTGAAATTTCCAATGTCGATTACACGACCTTCAATCCCAGTTTGCTCTTTAGATGTAAAAGGTTTGAACCTCCACATGGTCAGCCGTGATACAAAAAGACTGGACCACCGAAAATATGATATAATTGTTTAAAAGTAAGCAAAATGCAGTCATATTCAATACGAGCCAAAATTAATTAAAAAAAGTATAACGTTGAGGAAATACTAGAGTAATTATTAAAATGGTCCTGTTTAAAACTCACTGAAACAAACGACCATTACACGTGTTTAATGAATTACAATCATTCTTACGTAACTTATACGTCAATTGGTTAATTTGGTTCAAACTTTAAAGCATACATCAAACCTACTAATCAACAGTTATTTTTGAATTGGGCCTCAAATAGGATGAAGAGATTACAGTTTCTTCTTAAGGTATCAGCATTAAATACAAACTATAGGTAGACAGCCTGTACATGATGAACTGATTGGAGCCAAACTTGTTGCTATTATGCTGGAGATGACCCCAAACTCTATTTATACAATTTTGACAAGCATAACCACTGGACCCCCATAATTTCCATGTACAGTGAATGAGTGACACGAAAGTAGAAGTTTTTTTCTTTATTTCTGCTTTACACATAAAAAAAATAAAAGAAACAAAAAGATTGGTTTAAAATCTGGGAAAACATGGTCTACTTTCAAACGAAGAGATAAATATTGAAAAAGTTGAGAAATCCAGGGGAGTCAACACGGCTATATAAAGCTCAACAGGCAATAAGTTATCGACGAAAGATTGATACAAATTTTTCGCAACCAACATGGAAATGCTGAAGCGCATTTAGAAAATCTTATTTCCTGTACTCTAACCTAGCTCTTCTAGCAACAGTCAGGAGCTCCACAATGTGTAATCAACATCCCCATTTCATTATCATTAATGGTTATCAATATCTGTACAGAATATCTATCAAATATCAATCTTTTGATGCATCATTACCAAATATCAGCCATTATTATGTATCCTAAACTTCAACAAGTTAACTAGGATCAAAATTTATAGCAGTTATTTCTAAAATTGCGTATGAATTGGAAAAAATTGAGCTTCCATTGTTATCAACAATTACTTAGAATTGGGTCTGAAATAGAATGAATTAATGATTACAGCTTATTCTCAAGGTCTCAGCATTTAATACCAACTACTTGAACATTGCCTATTCATGAACAATGAATTGGAGACAAGGTTTGTGAGATGCTAGAGATATGCCTTAGCTCTACCAGAGACAATCCGACAAACAAGCTCTGGAACCACATATTTCCAAGTACTACTGTGGAAAAGTGATACGAACATTTAAAAATTTGTTTTCTTCCGTTTCTTTGTTTGACATTACACATTTCACAAGAAGGAAAAAAAATCGTTTTAATAAGGAAAAAAACATGGTCTATTTCTAAACAAAGAGACAGAGTTGAAAATTCCCAGGGGTCCGGGGGGTGGGGGGGTAACCAAGGTTAGATACTGCTCAACAAGCAATAAATTATTGAATATCAAAGTCCAAATGAAATTATATCAAGCCAGAGTCAAAGGAATAATTCTTCTTCTGTATCAAATATGTACAGCTTCATGAAAAAGTTCCAAAAAAACAAAGCTTGAGGACCAGAGGACAAGCAAAAAATATAAAATGTTTTCAAATTAAGAGAAATTATATAATTAACAAAAGAATACACCATTTGTTTGCTTTCTAGTTTCTAGTTTGGTTATCTAATAGAGGAGCATGTCACTGTTGTAGGTTGTCTAGAATCTAATTATTTTGGATCTTCTAGTAGATGTATCAATGAACAGAACAGTGTAGCAAAAAAGGATTCATGTAGCACAACCCCAAATTTGTTGCAGATAAGCCTTTAGTTTGCTTTTGTTGTACACTTCCCCATTACCCAGCAGATATCTGAAGAGAGAGTGAAGGGGAGAAAAAGGAAAGAAAGTGAAATCAAATTTAGCTCACCTTTTGGTGTTATATCTACCAAGAAGATGTTTTGTGTCAAGTTACCCGTAGAAGAGAAATGTGGATGTCCCTGGTTTTTTAACTTGTTGAGTGCCGTGGTGAAACAATGACAAACTGTTGTTCTTGTTACTTCCTTTTGCATTCCTATCTAAATCTAAATTATAAGTAGAATTAGCATTAAACTAGCAGTAACATTAATAATTCACATCTATAAGCATTATGTAATAATTAATTCTTGTCATTAACAATAATGGTGAAAGACCTGTGTTATAAAAGTACTGATCCATGTATAACTGAATATGGATACAACAAATGAGACCAAATTCTCCCTACAATCGTAGAAGCAAAAGATGGTAGTCTCTAGTAAACCACTGCATACACCCATAATTAACAACAACAAGCTAGCCTTAATATATATCTTCAATCTAATGATTGAAATTTTTTCCTTGAATTTCAAAAAAGAAAATAACCCATTCGAATGATTTTCCCATCGTTAGTCTAAGAATTCCAGATCCCTTTAACAGAAGATCTGAACAAAAAGCCAGACTATAGATTATACACACATATATACGAGAACGAACATTTGAAAAACAATAATGTGATCTGGAATACGTAAATGAAGACATATTTAATGTGGATGCAAGATTTAAGTTGAAGAATTGAAGAAAACTTGAATTAAATAGTAAAAATGAGGGAACTGAACAAATGGGACCTCAAAAAATTGGGAGCTAATTCAACCAGTAACAAAATAAATCTAACACAATAGTTGTAAAGAAGAGACGGATGTACCTAGAAAAAAGTAGCAAAATCCGAAGCTAATGTACGAGATCTGCGTATCTTGGATTCGGGCGCTTATAGATTCTGATGATTATATGAGATCTGTGAGCAAAAAGTATGAACAAAATGGGGGGGCAACAAAAAGAGGAGGGTCGATTGCTTTATGTATAGTGAGATTGGAGTGCTGTGTATAGAAGGCTAAAGGAATGTTGAGGAAGATTTGCTTTCGGTTCCACCATCACCATCTTCTTGCGTTTGGCAAAAGATTAATATATATTATGTGAATTGGATCGATTTGTTTCTTCTTCAAGGGCTTTTAGTTTTGTTTCTTTTATTTTTGAACACAAAGTTAAAGGAATTTGTACGTGTCGTCTTGCTCACAACACGAATTATGCTAATATTTTATTTATCGCTTTTTTCTGCAAGGAATATTAGAATGATTCCATTAGAATTAGGTGAAAGTAATTGAGAACATTGAGTCTCGAATTGATTCCAAATTAATTTTGAGTTTTTAAGACATTCAAAGTGATGGTTATGAGTATTTGAGATGCAAGGTGACGCATCACTATTCTACAAACTTAGGAGTCTAGATTAAGCCCCTGTTTGATGCTTATTACCTGAAAATGGAAATGTGAGGAATAGTATTTTTTAGAAAAATGAGTGGTTAAAAAGGAAAGAAAAGTTTTCGATTTACGTGTAATATTATTTTATGGAAGATTGTGTGGTTGAAAATATGAGAGAGAGAAATGGAATATAATTTAATTTAATTTAATAGGGATCAAACGGGGACTAATAGGAGTACAATGGCCAGATATATCATTGGGTTACAAAAGTATGTTAAATTTAGGTCAAAGCTAATAATTATCTTTAATCGCATATTTTATAGTCTCACAATTTTTCATCTAAGGATGACAAAAAAAATTTGTTTAGTATGCTTTCGGTTCCACCATCACCATCTTCTTGCGTTTGGCAAAAGATTAACATAAATTATGTGAATTGGATCGATTTGTTTCTTCTTCAAGGGCTTTTAGTTTTGTTTCTTTTATTTTTGAACACAAAGTTAAGGGAATTTGTACGTGTCATCTTGCTCGCAACACGAATTATGCTAATATTTTATTTATCGCTTTTTTCTGCAAGGAATATTAGAATGATTCCATTAGCATTAGGTGAAAGTAATTGAGAACATTGAGTCTCGAATTGATTCCAAATTAATTTTGAGTTTTTAAGACATTCAAAGTGATGGTTATGAGTATGGATTTGAGATGCAAGGTGACGCATCACTATTCTACAAATTTATGAGTCTAGATTAAGAGGAGTACAATGGCCAGATATATTATTGGGTTACAAAAGTATGTTAAATTTAAGTCAAAGCTAATAATTATCTTTAATCGCATATTTTATAGTCTCACAATTTTTCATCTAAGGATGACAAAAAAAATTTGTTTAGTCCGATATCCACGAACGGAACGTAGATTGTTGCCCTAGGACAAAGGCCGAGCATGCCACATTACCATCCCGTTTAAAACTCATTTCAAGATATACATTTTTTATCACATAAAAAGAAAGGAATTATCACCAAAAGAACCATGAATTTTTTTTAAAAATTAGAGAAAATAATGATTTTCACCAACTAATACATTATAAAAAAAAAAGATAAAATAAGTGATAAATGGGGCCATGCCCCACCCATCCCTTAGGTTTAGGGAAGGGGGCAGGAAGATAAAAATACTCAACAAGTTACAGGATGAGAATGATTGTCCCGACGTACCTCATTGTCATCCCTATTTTCATTCACACATTACATTAAGTTCTTATAAAAATCTGATTTTATCTAAATTTGACTCTGGCTAAGTTTGGACTAAGAATTACGAGATCCAATGTCACCAAAAGAACCATGAATTTTTTTTAAAAATTAGAGAAAATAATGATTTTCACCAACTAATACATTATAAAAAAAAAGATAAAATAGGTGATAAATGGGGCCATGCCCCACCCATCCCTTAGGTTTAGGGAAGGGGGCAGGAAGATAAAAATACTCAACAAGTTACAGGATGAGAATGATTGTCTCGACGTACCTCATTGTCATCCCTATTTTCATTCATACATTACATTAAGTTCTTATAAAAATCTGATTTTATCTAAATTTGACTCTGGCTAAGTTTGGACTAAGAATTACGAGATCCAATCTATAAATTATCAATTTAATTATGCCTTGCTTCCATTTGAAGAAAATAACGAGTGGTGACAAGGTTTTACTAAAATTAAAATTAACTAAGATAACAACTGAAAATGCATCAATTAACAGTTTCGTTTTTTACTTATATGTAAAAAGTTTGAGGGTTCATGATTTTACAGTCTCTTATCTTTCTTTAAGCTCTCTAATCAAGTTCTAACAATCATTAACGTATCTATTTTCGCTCAATTAAGCTGCTCTATCAAGTTCGAATACATCCTACTTAATTAAGTCAATTAACTATAACTTAGTTTCAACTACGAGAGTAATCATGTAGGTAAATTTTTGCTTTAAAATTATCGTATATTTTAATTCTTTATTTGTTGAAGTGATTTACGAGTAATATTATTTAACAATATTGGCGTTTAACAACAATGTAGGTTACTACATCAGTGATATTAAATTACATATTCAGTTAAACACAAGGAATTTTGACTCGTTAATAGGACCTATGTTATACTAACATCTAAACATAGTGTTCAACACCGTTGATATTAGATAACATTATTTGTCATTTATTATTGTGCATGTATATTGTAACTGCTAATATTGACATTGATTATATTTAATTAAAGCAATTCTTGAAAAAAAAAAATAATCTTTTTGCCTCTTGAAATATAAATTTGCCGACGGAGTGGTGCATAAGTTAATACGATTAAAGGACATGACTTTGTCAAAGCAGGAATGGGGGGAGTGCACGATATCTTGATTTGTCTCCCCAAGGCAAAAAAAAAATAATAATAAATAATAAAAAAAATTTGGTATTCACCTGCTAGATTTTGGCTCTAGTTGAAGCATGGTCGGTCCTAGCACGTTATTTTTAATCTTTTTGCCTCTTGAAATATAAATTTGCCGACGGAGTGGTGCATAAGTTAATACGATTAAAGGACATGACTTTGTCAAAGCAGGAATGGGGGGAGTGCACGATATCTTGATTTGTCTCCCCAAGGCAAAAAAATAAATAAATAAATAATAAAAAAAATTTGGTATTCACCTGCTAGATTTTGGCTCTAGTTGAAGCATGGTCGGTCCTAGCACGTTATTTTTAGTTTGGGACATAGGTAATTATATTCAATTAAATTACTTTGCTAGAATTTTTTTTGCCAGAATAGTTGACATCTTCTTACATGTGCGTGGATCTCGCGTGAATAAAAAAGTCAAAAAAAGAAGTGGGCCCTCCATTGTGAGTATCAGTCAACCATTATATCAAAAAAATTGATCATCATAGTACTGTTGTATTAGATTATACTTGCATCATTGAAGACTATTCGGAGCGCGAAATCTCATAATGAAATTCGTTGCAGAAGAAAGTTATATAACGATGAGAAATCAAAACGTTATTAAACCTTTAAGCATGCAAATGAGTATTTAGGTTGTTGCATCAATCCTTCATTTTCTATATTGAAATAAGAGTTAGCATAGGCTTTCTTCTCTGGGTTACAAAAGTCAGGACCTACTATTAACTATTTTCTAAAATAATGTAGTAAGGTCTATTAGAATTTCAAAATTTATAAAATTACAAAATAAAAGCATAGTACCCATAGTGAAAAATAAATTATTTTAATTAATTAGGATAAAAATAATATTTTATAGATAACTGAATAAGCTAAATGCATATTCAAAAAAGTTTTAATTTTTCTGCTTCTCAATCTATGTTGTTAGATTGTACACATTCTTCTACTCTTGTTTCAGTCCCATTTTTCAAAAGTACATTTTTATTTGAATTCAATTTCAACCACACATTTTCTTAGTAAAATAATTTTATATGTAAATCTAAAACTTTTTCCTAATTTTAACCACAAATTCTTAAAATAAAAATAAAAATAAAAATATATACTATTACAAAAATCTTTTTTTTTTTTTACTATAAAATGGGGTTCAAACAAGAGCATAATCACTAATTTACCAAAACTTCTGATTTAGACAATCATGAGTTTGATATATCTGTATGTGAATTTGAATTAGTCTTTAATTATGCGCATTAAATTACAAAGGAATTCAATTAACAGCCACAAGTTTGATTGGGGTTGGTTTTTTATCCAACCCAAAACCGACCCGACCCAAGCATTGGTCGGTTTTGTTGGTTATGTTTTGTTGAATTTGAACAATTTTAAAGTTGGAAACCACCTGAAAATCTCTATTATTTTTAATCTATATAAGGAATTCTTTTTTATAATTAATTTATAAATAAGTTTGAAGTTATGGAGCATTTTATAGATTTTTTTTTCTTGAAATTTAATCATTTCATCATGACGTACTTAATTTGGAATTTATTCATTTAACTATCAAGTTCTTAATTTTTAGTTTATCGTTAAATTATTTATATTTGTACATAATATTCATACCAACCAGCATATATATAAAAATGGGGGGGGGGGGGGGGGGCTGTAAAAAAAAAAATA